CCGCCGGCAATGACTGCCTGGCCAAAGCTGATAAAGCCTCCACCGGACTCACCGGCCGTGGAGTGTTCCACTGTCATTTGGGAAGCTCCGGTGATGAGAACATCCTCCCCGACATAGAAGCCGCCACCCACCTCCTGCGCGGCGGTGTACCGAACGTCAACGGCTGCCCGGTCCTCAGAGGCGGGATCGTGACTTCGGGATCTTGGGGGTTTGAGAGTAGGATTCCCTGCAAGGGAATCAGGCCCAGCTCATGTGGCAAGGCTCAAGGCTCAGCCTCTTCGCGTAGAAACCACCACCACTTCCAGCAGTGCTGTTCCGGATCTTGAGCACAGCTCCCTCCAGACTCCTGAAGGGCGATGCCAGCAGAGGAGAAGCGACAAGCCCCGCAAGCCTGCGTCCCAGAAAAAAACACCAAAACCGAGCCCGAGATTCAAATCGCGTGCCCACAAGGCACCGCCTAGGTTGCTTGCTCTGCTGTCCCTCACCTGGGCTAGGGTCAGCTGGGAACTGGGAAGGCAGAAGTGCGCCAAGCAGTAGATATGTGCGGAAAGCCGGGTGGCGGTGACGTTCGAATTCTTCATCTTCAGATCCAAGGCTTTGACGGCTCCTCCATCCGCTGCTTCCCCAAAACCCCAGCTCACCACATCTGCATCTTCGAAGATCAAAGACCTCGCGTCTGCAAGGCCACACGGCTTTGCTGTGACTACTCTGCCGTGAATGACTGCGACATACCAGGACGAGGTGCTGCGCGTCCAGGCGCAAGCGCAGCTGCACTGGGCCCCGGATCCGCAGGCGGCCCCGAGATTGCAGCGTGGTGCCCACGAGGATCACGGCCTCGGGGCCCTGACTCTTAAGGTCGCAATCCTCCGGGAGACCCTCGCTCCTTAGATGCGCTTGACATCTTGCATCATCCTGCAGACCAGAACCGCGACACAAGGAGTTCTCACCCAGGTCCATCCACTTCTTGCGGCCAGTCGCGTGGGCCGGAAGCACCCCGACAGCGGAAGACTGCAGAGCTCCTCTGGGCTGATCTCCTGGCAGACCTGCAAAGACAAAGGCGCGGACTGAAAGAAAGTTGCTGCCTCCTTCCCGCCGGCCCCTGGCCTTTGCGCTGTGCATGCCACTGCCTGTGCCGGAGCAGGCCGCACAGAGAGAAAAAGCACACAAATATCTCGCAATGTGAGCTACATGCAAGCAAAGCACCTGGCAGACGCGGGAGTGCATGCGGCAGGGCCACAGCCGGAACTCCGGCGAGCCATGCCACCCAAACCGTCGACAACACTGGGAAAATGGGCTTTTGCCCAGCCCAGGACATGTGCGAATCAGACAGCCTCTTCTGGGCGCTGATATGCGCTGAGAATTCGGGATGCGCAGCTTTTTCAAGCCTACGAGCCTGTGCATTTGGGTATGCTACTACCTTCTACCTTGATAACTTCAGGCAATATGCCATTTGTCCACCAGCCCTCGTCCAGGGTCCTCGCGATGACAACCACATCACTGACGCCTATGGCAGCTTGCCGGTGTGCTTCTTAGGCGATGAGCGCATGTCGGCATGTTGATTTATGCAGGCAGCTGCGATCCAATGCTGTACAGCCTGCAGCGCTGCAGCGGAGACGACAACATGAAGACTTACTTGCTCTGCCTTCCCAGGCACCTATAATGGTTTAGGGTTCAGGACATATGCCCATCCTGCAAGTAAGCAAAACATCCACTCACATACTGGTGCTCCAGAAAAAGTAGGCGGAGAAAACATAACAGCAGCTGTAGGGGAGATAGAAGTTATAGGGAGGGCTTACACGACATCAACTTGCTGGCGGATGGTAGTGAATTCGGAATATAGTCCCGTATTCCCTATGCTGACTTCCTGACTTTTAATCACATGCCAGTTGCGCACCACCACTCGTAAGTCTTCGGGTTGACAGCCACATGACATCTATTGCAGCTTGCTGGTGCGCTTCTTAGGCCATCACCCAATGTACTGATGTTGATTTATGCAGCTGCGATCCAATGCTGCACAACTTATAGCCGGCACTGGGTCTTCAAGCTACTGACATGATTTCGAAACGAACAACAATCATGCTGATCGTGCTACGCTCTTGGGAGCTGGCCCAACCAGTCTGAGGTCACTGCGTAGCTTCATGCTCAGTCCTCAATGCTGCAAGGCGCAACGACAAGCGCCGTGTGTGGTATGGCTGCCGGCACGCAGTAGACCGTCAAAAATGAAGGCTTTTGAACTCTCTTGGAGCACCTTGACGAACCACAAAACCGGTACTCGACTCTTGATATGGGTAGCGAGCAATGATGATCCTCTCAAAAGCACATGGATGCGAAGCAAAGCGTGCGCAGCCTAAGCCATCCCAGGGGAATTTAAAACCGTTGAATACTTCTCGGTTCCCTCTTTACCAACAGCGCGGGCCTCTTCATCCAAACGTTGCACTCAGCATGACTGATTGAAACGAGCATCATTGTATGACTGTTGGTACAACATGAAACCAACTTCGTGTTTTGCCCAATCAATATATCAGCAGCATCATAACAAGACACACCGGTACACGACCCCATTCCCGCTTGCGTCCCGTGTTGCCTGGAGAGAAGCTGTGTAATATAAACAAAGGTTTCGCTCACAGTGTGCGAGTAGCCCCTGCATGTAAGCGACCTGACAATCTGCAACAGAAAAGTTAGAAATACTTTGGGTTGGTGAAGTTGTATTGTCCAGATGTCGCTGCGTAGCACACTCAACGTCTTCCCAGTCATCGGGTTTTCAGCCGCTGTTCAATCATTCACGTCTCATGGTCTTTCTTTGCATGCTTCCAGGATCTAGGCCCTGGCTGAATGTAGGTGTGCATGGAGGTCTGCTGCTGGAGGTGTTTTGGCGCCGCTCACTTTCATGTATTTGTGACGTTGAGAAACGTTCATGAAAAAGCTTCGATAGCGCATCCTTCGCCAAAGGCTTTTGCAATTGTTGCATATGCTTGGACCTAGCGTCAGGTTTGGAGCTACCCTCATTGGCACAGTAGGCTGGCTCCTCACGGAGATAAGTTGCTATGTTTGACTGGCAGAAGCATGGTCATGATCAGCACCACTTTCACTCCGAAACTAAGCTGAGAACAAGAAAGAGGCATCGGCATTGTTCACAGCTTCGTTTTGAATGTGCACGCAAAGGCATCTTGCCGCCAAACGTCCCAGACGCAGCTTGTGCAGTGTCCTGCCAGAATTAGCAGGCTAGCACAAACCCAGGATTGCCATTGACATGCATAGAGTCAGAACCCTACACCCTAAACTGAGCGCACATGTCTTAAACCAAGGCATGCCAGCTTGCGACAACAACATTGTTTTCCGCAGCGCAGGCAACCAAGATGCGCTGTCTTGAGCCTCTTGTGGGCTTCAAGTCTTTCATCTGGCTATGTGCCTCCACAGTGAATCCAGCATTTGTGACTTGCTTTCCGCGTTGTACAAGTCATGTCAAATCAGGCTCTAGAATCAGCTTAAACACATCGCCACGCACACAAAATTCAGAAAGTTTCTTGCATTACCAGTTCCCTTTGCTGGCTTGCCTCGTCACACAATCTACTTGACCTTTCAGCTGTGACAAGCTCCAATTGCTTGATGGAACTGTGTAGCGCTTGGCTAAGTGTTTCTGTGATGTCCTGCTCGGCAACTTCCAGGCCAATTGTTGATGCCACATAACGGAGGATACGCTCCTTGTCTTCGTTCTTCGCGGCATCAGAACTTCTGAAACAGAGTGCTCTCAGCCTCTCAGCCGCTCTCAGTGCTGTGGTGAAGGAGGTGCAAGTCATATCAGACAGCACACCGCGATCCACGGCAAAGCACACCTGAGGTTCAGTTTTTCTGAAGATATTCAATAGCATTCCAAGGAGCACTGACCCAAGAACTTTGTCAATAAAACTGCAAAAATATGGAGGATGATCGGTGTTCAGTCGTACTGTTTTGTCAAGTCCGACCTGTAGATGGTTGACCCGAGTGGTCATGTAATACTCCAAAAGGCACCAAGAGCCTCAGGCGCAAAAAATCTATCACTGCATGCCATGATCTCGGATGGTTCCGGGCTTGGGCAGCGACTGCGGAAACAGTTGCGCTAAGCCTGATCTCCAAACCCTAGCCCTGGGGCATCGGGTGGATGCGTGGCAGAAGTCAATTCTCAAACGATGCGTCCACAACATGTATTCATCGATTCCTCACCATGACGATCTTGAGAAAAGCGCTCGCAAGAATGGTGGTCCTAAAAGACCATTTTCTGCAAAGGGTCTGAAACCCCCAGCGACCCCGCAGCCGCGGAAATGTCGCAGCCGTTCAGAAAGGGTTTCTGCAGAGACAGATTTGGGACGCAGACCAAACAACCCTTGAACATGGTGTCGAACTCCAATCCAAGGGGCGGGTCAGGGGCAGGACGTCGGAGTCCAGGATCATGACCACGCCACGGATGTTCCCGCACAACACCTTGGCGAAGGGGCTGTCCTCGATGGTTTCACCAAGCTCGATCTCGATGTCCCACCTTAACATGAGTTGTAGGGGCTGGAGGAATGGATGTCCACGGGAGCTCTTAATCAAAAAATCATCCCCATGCTGCATTCCTGCATTCCCTGCTAACCACCGATAAGCCACTGGTTATTGGCGAACGAGCAAATCCAATATGTGGTCAACAGGGCAGAGGCATCGAGGGGCAAAGGCAGTAATCCTGTTCCGTTCGCTGGACTGGCCTCATGTGTCTGTGCAGCGAACGCCGCATGGTGGCAAATGGACGTGACGAAATGCTGAAAGCTTGTCTG